AAAAAAAAAAGAAAACACAGGAGGTGCTGGACTGAGGATAAAGCTGGTGCAATTATGAGCTTCAGCAAAACTTCTGCGGGCAACAAGAGCCACACCACGCCGAAACCAGAGCCTCGCCACATCACTGCCCGACCATCCAGCAGCATAGGACCGCACATCCCTGGGTGGGCAACGCAGGCAGCACTCTTGCTGTTAAAGCCCAAAGAGCAGCCTTCTACCACGCGGAAACCAGAGCCTCACCACATCAGTGCCCGAGCATCCAGCAGCATAGGACCGCACGTCCCTGGGTGGGCAACGCAGGCAGCACCCTTGCTGTTAAAGCCCAAAGAGCAGCCTTCAAGTTCACCAAGAAACCCCCCCAAAGTCCAGATCCCTGAAGGGAAAGGCAGAGCCTTGCTGCTAAAGCCAAGCTGACCTGGGGCGTGGGGCGGAGGAGGCGGAGGCAGAGGGAAAGACTGCAGGGAGGAGCCCATCGGACCCACTAGGACAGATGCAGGCAGCGTCCCACTGATATCATCTAGGAGAGAACAGAGGCAAGAGAGAGTCAGAAAACAAGAAAGCGAGCCAGCTCTGCGCCGGGAGCGCTGACAACACGGCCCGAGCGAACCGGCACCCGGCGCTGCCTGGAGAAGTAAAGATGGAGCTTCCCACCGGCAGCTCATCATCCTCCTCTCGCTTCTGAGCGCGGGTGGCTGCCGCCGCTTCGCACCAGCTCGGAGCCTCGCACACACACGCATGCACACACACACATGCACGTTCACACGCGCTCCTGGAGCGAAGGAGTCCGTTCTCCAGCCCAGCAAGCTCCTTGCATGCAGCTTGCGGCACAAGCCAGGCATTTACAGGAGATTTCATGGACCCGGCAGGCGGGACGTGCGGTTTAAGGTTCCGCTCACTAAGGCTGACTCGACCCATCCTAAGCTGCTCCCAGGAACCCCCCCAGAGGAGGAGGCAGAGGAGCTAAGCCAGGCTCCTGGTGCGGCAGCCTCCCAGGGACCCTCCACTTCCACCGACTTAGAGAGCACAGAAAGGAACTGGCCTCGCTGGGCGATGGGTAGGAAGGGGGAAAAGTTTCCAAAAGCAGCAGAAATGCTACAAAACCAGCACATTAACTCCCACCTCACATCGCTCCACCACCACCCTTCCCCTCCTGGCTGATTTAAGAGAAACACTGAAGCTTTCAACAAACAGCAAAAAATCCCCTGCCAGGGAAGGGTGAGCAGGCACGGTAGGGGGTCGGATGAGCAGGCAGCGACCCCGCTGCCAGGGACCCTCCAGACGCTCCCCCGCCGTCCCTGCAAGGCGGGACAGGCAGCTCCTACGCTCCCAGAGGGATGCACGGCAAAGGATGCTCTCCAGGATGGTACCTAGCAGGCTGAGGCTTCTTCGTGGTGGAGGTGGTGGAGTCGGAGGGTGAGGGGAGGTCAGTCCTCGCTGAGAGATGTCCACGTCCACTAGTGACACTGTTTCACCTGAAGGTTGGTGGAGCAAGACTGTTAGTATGGCACCTTCACCGGGGCATGCAGAGGCCGAGCGCGGGGCAGCAGGGGGAGAGGGGAAGGGGCAGTGACCTCTGCAGGGTTTGGAAGATGAACTCATTAGCTGTTTTCAAATTGAGTTTCCCTACTGCACCGCTTGGGAGACATCGATCAGCCCTGGTACCGCAGCCCAAAGGTCAAGCAGAGGGGAATGACCCCGGTACGCGTGCCTGAACCCCCTCCCGGGCCGGCACCAGGAGGATGGTGATGAGGAAGGCACTGCCAGACCTTCTCAGCACCGACTTCACATAGCAAGCGGGGCTCATCAATGGTGCACAGCCCCGGCACTTTGTATAACGCTTGGGAAATGGTATCGCAGGTCTGCATGGTGCCCGTGGGCACAGGACTCTGAGATAACACTCCTGTTAATGCCAGTGAGTTTGCCTACAAATGCCTTAGATGATCAAACAGAAATACCTTTTTCCCCAAAGGCCATGAGGGTACCAGCTCTTAAAATTAATAAGAGGGAGCTGGACAGGCTTTTACATTAAGAACCTGGAGTTCACTGAACCTAAAGGCTTTGGATCCAGGATACTGCTTGGGAAAAATAACGACACAAACTAAGATGTCTCACTTAAAACCAGAAAAGCTTAAGATTAGTCTAAAATCATGGGAGAGAAATGAAGCCATCAAATCAAGGTCAAAGCGTCAGCCCAGTACTGGACTGATACAGAGTCAAAAGGAAAACACCTTAATCCCAAAGCGAGACCCTAAGTGGTGCTACCACAGCCAAGACTTCTTTTTTTTTTCACACTCCAACACTGAAACCAAATCATCCCGAACAGCTGAACCACGGTCTCAAGGACAAGGCAGTGCGGCTGCCTTAGATTTCAATTCCTGTGGGCAGGGAACTCCTCTGCTGCTCCAGACCCCGCACACAGCATCACCCACCCCTTGGCAAGCACCCCACAAGGTACTTGCCATGCATGCCACAGGACAGCATTGACTCAGCTTCCTTCTGCTTTTAAAAGTCCTGTCTATTAATAAGGGATGCTAAGGGGAGTATTTAGGGTTGGTTGGTATCCAAGGTACCCGCTCCCTGGGGGACTTACGGGTGTGAGTGCACACGCATGCACACAGCCACTCTTTCATTTCCACACCCTAAAAATAAAGTCGCTGGGCTGCATTCATCTTCTACAAACAAAACCGAACGACAACCAGGCTAAGAGGGGTTGCGGCACCTCAGCTTTCAAACCCTTCCCAACGCAGCAGGACCTGTGACGGCAGGCTGGGGGGGGATTGACGGAGCCTGAACTTCCGAGGGATGCTCGAGGAGGGGATTGACGGAGCCCGAACTTCCGAGGGATGCTCGAGGAGAGGTCAGGAAGGGCGAGGACAGCCTTCCCAAAGACCTTCGCTCGCCCCACACCCCAACCTGAAAGCACTTCACCAAGAAACTCATGCCAGTTGGGCCAGGCATTTGAATTCTGTCCCATTTTGGTGGTCCCAGTCTCAGAAAAGCCCCTATGCAGCAGCCACTAAAGAAACCGACACCTCGGCAGCGTAAGCCTGGAGAAGCCAACAACAAACCAAAGCAATTAAAATCCAGATATTCACTTTTGGGACACATCCATCGTCTTCCACAAAGAAAAACCTCCTACGAGGGCATTGCCACTATTCCACTGACGGGCAAAAACTGACATAAGTAATTTTAAAAATAGTTAATAGGATAAACTAACAATTAATCAAATCGACCTGCCAAATTTAAAGCAAAAACTTGCCAACTCCAGGTTCTCCTCTGTAGTTTCTTTTGAGGAAAAGCAGCTCTGCACGCACATCCACGTACCCCCATCACCAGCCCACAGATTTACGGTTTTCATACTCACAACTTCCCCTGGCAGCAGCTGACAAAGCAGCAGAAGCAGCTTTTGCTTTCACCAGCCTCGACTTGCTAAATAAACGCACATGGCACAGAGGAAGGCAGCGGCATCAGGCGAGGGGCACGTCCCCTGCCTGCCGCCCCGCTCTCGGGACATCGGCCGAAGGGATGCGGGAACGGAGAAGGGACCAAGCACCGCTACAGCTGAACTATCCCCCAGTGACTCCACTTCTGCGAGAGCCGAGGGAGCTACACGAAACCGCAGGAGGGGGTCAGAAGCTCCCAGTTACTGGTTTCAGGCCAGTCAAATGGATGCTCTGCCTCGAAGGTCGCCTCTCTGACATTTAAACCAGTTCACCGCTGCTCTCCAACGAGGGCTTCGCCCTACTCGGGGACACAAACCACACACCGGGTCCTGCGCCGAGCTCTCCAGCCGTTCTCTGCCACCAAACACCAGCAGCAAGAGGATGCTGTCAGCTCTGCCCACCTTTCCCTAAGGCAGCTGTGGCTACACAACCACATCTGGATTCCTTTGCTCTGCAAGAAGACACTCATCAACACAGATTTATTTTGAATCCGACCTTCGTCACAAGCCACGTAAAACCTCACACAGCTGATAAATACTCACTTGCGACCTTAGATTCCTACTCACGCAAGTCTTGAGAGGGGATTCTCCCGAGGAAGCCCCAAGCCCCGTGGCTAGGACTGTTTTGGCGAGGAGCTCACGCCGCAGAGGCACATGACCATGACCGGGAGCTTTTCAGTACTACAGCGTTCAGCCCTCAGCGGAGCAGGACTTCCCCCTCGCCCCATCTATAAACCGACCAACTTCCCCTCCCAGCAAAAAAGGGAAGGTCAGAAATCAGCAGGATGAGAGAAAAGATGGGGGGAAAGATGCAGAAGAAGAAGTTAGTGCCCCACAAAAGAGGTTTCAATTCCCATCGCTGTCATGCAGCAGAGCCGCTGACGTCGGCGTGCGGTCCAGGCGCGAAGCGGGGCTCGGTCCCAGCCCCTCTCAAACCGCGGGAGGGGAGCGCCCAACCACACTTGCTCTACAGGGGATTTTCCAAACCACTTGGATGCAAACAGCCCTGCACGGAGGAAGGACCTTCCCCTCCGAGAGCACAACTCAAACTTGCGTTTCGACAGGAGGAATTGCAAAACGCTGAGGTGCAACAGCCACCTTCTTCACAGCTCCTCGTTCGGGGACTGAGCCAAGCAGGACAGAGGGGGTCTTCACAGAGACCCCGGCTCGCAGGCGGAGGCAGGGCTCTGTGGCCATCGTTAAGCACACGCTGCTCTTGTCATCGCCAAACGAAAAGCCATAGCGTACAACTATGCAATCCTTACCTGTGAAGAGGGGGCTGAACACAACCGGGGAAAAGGCACTTTGAGTTCTTGTCAGTCTGTGTTTCCTATCGGAAATAAGAAAAACACTGTTAGCAGAGATGAGGAGACCCAGTGCATCCCACCAGAAGAAAACATCCTTTGGTCCTTTCGAACCAGGAGAACCTTCACCGTTCTTTACGGAAGCTCGAGACAGCTCAATGCTGTTCATTCGACTCCTAGAGCAGTGCTTTGGCTTAAGTAGGGCAGCCAACCAGTAAAGCTAGGTCTCCATCCTGCTACGAAGCAAATCTCTAACTAGGTAATTAATAAAGTCTTTGGAAAGAAAAACCCCAAGCAAGTATGGTAACCGGAGCCAAGAAGCTGTTTCACAAGAGCCGTCAGTCACGCCGTTCCTCTGGATCAGGCATTGCCAAACGCCTTCGACAAACAGGTTCGGTCCCCGCGCAATCCGGGGCTGTGCCGAGAGCCAGCGCAGCGAATGCCCTCGCCCTGCGTTTGGAGGACACCGTCTCCCCAAAGGCTTTCAAAATGCAGGGGAAGGGTAGGCGAGAGCGAAACCCGGAGCCGTCAAGATGGATGGAAACTGCTGAAAACGCACCTCCAATGAGGACCCAGCCATACCCGCGATTCCCGTGAAGCCTGTTTTCCACACCAGCACTTTTGTGACAATGCTGGAGCCAGCCCCGTGCTCTCCCCACACAAACCCACTCCTTCCAGCGCCTTCCCTACCGCAATGCTAAAGGGCTTTATCCGGATCTAGGCAGAGAAAATGCTGGTAAACTGAGGCACGGAGTACGGCACCCCCGGGGACTTGATTCCGTGGTTGAGGTGAGGAGAGAAACGTGTCCCTGGTGCCAGAAGCTCACTCCCACCACCTAAGAGGGGAGCACCAGGACAAAGCCGAGCACAAGCGCAGCCCTCGCGTGCCGCAGCTTTCACAAAGGTCTTTCCAGCATCCCCAGGACGTCGTTGCATCGCCCATCCCGGCAACTGGGCAGTCTGTATCAGTCTGCAGGTCTGCACTGGGTCAGGCAAGGGTACGCCAAGTTAAATAGTCCAACTTCGCTCTGCTGGCCAGAGAAAGCGGTCCCATCGCATCCAGGCAAGCGACGGCACCACCAAGACCTACGTGAGCTCTACTCACCACCTGGCACACCCCACTGCCACCGCAAGCAGGCTGTCACAGGGCTGACACTGTTCCTCTTCGACGTCTTCCTCGCTCTCCAACCTCCTCCCGGCAAGCGGCTGACCCCGAGCCCTAAGCCAGCCCTGTGCTTCAGGCCCCAGCTCCGCTCTCCTCGAAGGGCCCTGGGAGCGCGGAGCAGAGGGGTGAGCCCTCATCTCCCCACAGGGCAGGGCAAACGCTTCTCCTCTTTGTCTCCAGACACAGCACTGGGTGGCACAGCTGTGAATCAACCCTGAACACTCCAAGTTTGCAAATACAAACGCTGAGAACGGTCATCATCCTGATACACAAAACCCCATCCGATGTTTGGAAGCGTTTTCATTTTAAGCCTCTCGCACCAACCTGAGGGTTGGATTTTTTCCCCCCCTCGAAGGAGAACAACTCACCGATTATCAGCCACACAGACAGACAAAATTACCCTTCTGGACTAATAGCAACCAACCTTATAATAGAGTAACAGCTCTGTTCCCACCCACCAAGCCAGACGGAAAGGAGCATTGCTGGCATCTGGCTGTTACCAAAACAGCGACGTTTCATGCCAACGTTTTACAGCCATCGATTTCTGAGATTTCTCATTTCTAGCAAGCTCGTATCAGCAGCAGGGCGAGAGCAAGAAACAATTCACACGGACCGAATCCTCCACTTCCCAACTCAGTCGCGCACTGCCGTACCGCCTCCTCCTGCCCTCAAGTTCTGCAGCATCCAAACGATGCAGAAATCCACGGAGGAGTAATTACGTGTGACCGGTACCTGAACGCTGCTGCATCGGATCAGCACAGCCCCGCAGAGCTGGTCAAAGCCGAAAGGCGATGTCGCCGTTCAGGATCGCCATGGACAGATTCTGCACGGATCTGTGCGTACAAAACTGGGAAACCCCTCGAGCTCCAGCAAACACGGATTTTTAGGGTCAGTTACCCCCCAGTTCTGCAATAGCTGCGGCTACTGCCTTAGCAGGCGGCACTTCCCACGGTGCCGCCTTCCCTCATCCCAAGGCACCGTCCCGTTAACGCTAAGGCTCTTCTTACCCAGCCGCCCAGGCTGGCTACGTGCTACTTGATGCATGTAAAAATACGGAGACCTGTTAAAAACCCAAGGTCACCAAAACAGCCCGCTCACACCACTTGGGTACCAACCTGGCAAGCGATCGGCAGCAGATGCCGGCTGCAGCTCAGGTCTGCCCGCATCCCTCCGTCTGCAGAACCGGTGCTGGACCCTCTCCCCTTGCCCTCCGATTACCTCTGCGGTACAAATCGCTTCCAAAAAAGAGCCCTTTCACTGATACAACCTTTAAATATCAACACCCGAGCCCTGGGTCAGAACCCACACGTGGGTATCTCCACATTTAGTTTCTTAGCCTCTTGCAGCAGAGCCCAACTATTGATTTGAGGTAACGGGGCTGGTTTCCTTCCTAACTGCTGCTGCGGGCGGGATGCAAAGCTGCACCGTGCTGACTCCAGGACCGGCAGCATGACGGGAAGCTTGGGCAGCAACTCGAAATACCAGGAATTCTGCTTCTTGCGGATGTTTAAAGAAAAGAGTCGGACCAGATAACAGCCACCGCAGACCACCCTTCACCCCACCAGCCTGCAGAGAGACTTGCAAGCCAGGAACAAGGGCTCGATAGCAAGCAGAGCCCTGAATTAACTCCGAGCCCACCTCATCAGCCATGAGCGACTGCAGCAGCGGCTGGCGGTGACCACCAGGTCCATGGAGGGCCACATATTGGGAGGCAACAACCTCCAGCTCCTAGCAGAGCCAAGGAAAGGTCGTCCCTGTCCTCCCCCGGTCAACCAACACAGATGGGTGCAAAGCAGCAGACAGCATTGACCAGCGTGGCGTTAAGTCTAGCAAAGACCACAGCAGAAACAGGGAGTCACCACATTATCTCCAAACTGAGGGACCAGGGCAACTGAAAGGAGAGCACCGTCTGCCGAGGCCAAACATTTGCTTCCCAGCAAGCCCAGCTTGGCTAAACCATGTCTAACCCGCCCACGAGAGCACGGGCATCCCAGCATCCCGAACCACTCGTCCTCGCTGGCGAGAGCGGGGCCAGACTCCGGGGCCGGCAGGGACCATCCCCTCAACGCGCAGCTGCCCAGATGGAGAGATGCCAGCACCCAGCCCGCCCGCCCTGCATCCCAGCAGCCCAGGAGCAGAAAGCATCCTTCCAGTAATCCAGCCCTCATCAGCAGGAGGGGACTCCTGGAACTGGAAGCAGCAAAGTCATCCCTGAACCACAAGAGTTGCTGCATCAGGCACCTTGAAGTAACCTTTGTTAAAATACCGCCTAATTAGCGCGGCGGAGTTGCACGATGCCGGAGCACGACAAGTGACCTCCTGGACCAGAGGGAAGACCCAGGCGGCGATACGGTGCTGCTCCGCTCCCAACGTGCTAAAACACGACTGCCAAATCTCCACCACCTAAGCCCAGCGCTGGGAGGTCCCCAGGCCTCCTCGCCCTCATCAAGCGCAAGGACCAAATAAACCACAAGCCCATTAGCAAAACATTAGGTCATTACAGGCAACCTGGCTCGCTACCGTTTGAGGCCCGTTTAGTCATTTGTGGGGAATGAAGCCGTTGTCTAAAACTGTTCCAGCACCCCACGAGCAGAAGCGAGGCTCCTCGGGGGCACACGAGCTCCAGGCAGGACCCGCACACCCT